ACAACACCGTGTGAACATGAAGGCAGAGATCGGGGGGTGCTTCTATAAGGCAAGGAGTGCCAAAGATTGCCAGCCAGCCACCAGCAGCTGGGGAGAGGCTGGTGAAAGATTGTCTCTCACAGCCTTCAGAAGGAACCAACCTGACAACACTTTGATCTTGGACTTACAGCCTCCAGAACTTCGAGAAAATACATTTCTGCTGTTTAAGCCACCCTGTGTGTGGCACGTTGTTATGGCTGCCACTCGAGTGGAGACCTCTATCACACTAGCTCCAAAGCCCCTTTACTGTCCCCAAGTTTCTCTTCCTAAGATCTTAAGTTTCCTTGCTCTTTTTACTGGATCCTGCCCAATCAGGGCTTCTTAGGAAATATTTTCTCTGGGCCTTTCTTTCCGGTGGGTGGCTCTGAACATTGTCCTCTTTGAGGTCCCAGCAGGTCCTGAAGCAGAGGAACATGGTGGGCACCTGATGGGTTTTCCAGTCCTCTGCATGTCTCCTGTTCCTGGAGTTGAACAGGTGACACGTGCACAGATGCCCGGGATGACAGCTGGAAATGGGAGCAGCCTGAGAAGCCTCCCGCAGGGGACAGCGTCATTATCACACCATGAGCTGGCTGAGATGGAGCAGACGGTGAGTCCTGAGGGGGTCCTAACCTGAAGTTTATGCAAACTGAGAAATTCAATAGGCTGTACAACTTGTCCTACATGAAGCTGCCATAAAAGATGGGTCTCTAGGGATGGGCTTGGTTGCCATGGAGACAGTGGGGTAAGGAGGGGTAAGAACACAGCTGTTCATCCAACTACTGTGTGAGCCCACTCCTTTCCCTAAAGCAGAACTCCTGTGAGGTAGTTTCTTAATACTTCTCTGCTCCCAGGCAGGACTGCACCCATTCCAGCCCCCATTATTTCCAGGATTGGATATTCCGCCACCCCCAGCAGCCATCACAGGTCATCGTAGAATCCTCCTCTTTTCTCCCCTCAAGAAGGATCTTTTAGTAAGTGGCTTCTGTCTACTGCACTAAGAGGTTGCACTGAGTGGGGGACACATTTTGAAGATAAGGGCTGTAGACAAAGACACATGGATAAAGGGTGTGGACCTCATAAAATTCTGATGATTAAGAGGTCTAGGAAAAAGATCTATGCTGGTGTGAAGGGAGCAGACAAGAAAGCTGAGGTCAAGAAAGTTAGTTGATTCTCCTTACAGGTTACTTTTAACAAATTTTGCATTTTTGCCAAAAATGCCATAGAAATGAGGTTGTGAGGCTCATCAAGCAGGGCCCTGAGACTGCCTGATGCCACCTAAGCCCACGCTGTGACTGATGGGACAGTCCTGGTGGTGGGTTATCAGCTTGCAAGCCTGGCTTGAAGCCTGGGGCAGGGTCCTGGGTGGAATCCCAGACCTGGAGCACTGGACCCTCGTGTCTTGCCACCCTTCACCCCATGTGTTTGTAAATACTCTGGCATCCTTTGGACCCCAGAAGGATTTTAAATGTGTGATTTACTTCTCTAATCATGACAATTGCTATAAAGTAAACACAATGACAAAAAAAAAAAAAAAAGAAAGAAAGAAATAAGGTTGTGCCCTTCTTGGGGCATTCTACTAGGAGACACATGAGGTTGATTTTTCCCTTTACTGGTGATGTTAACCTTGATCACATGGTTAAGGTGGCATCTACCAGGTTTCTTCACTGAGAAGTTACTGTTGTTCTGGTTGTAATTAATAAGTATCACATGGGAAGATGGCTTAAAACTATGTAAATATACTGTATCTCATTATGCTTTCACCCACTAATTTTAGCATCCATTGACCATTCTTGTCTGAAAACAATTATTACTGTGTACTTTATCATGGTGATTTTCTATTTCCATAATTCATTCTACATTTTACTAGTTGGAATTCTAGTGGAAAGAGTTTCTTCTCTCCCCCATTATTTATTTGTTTGTTTGTTTGTTTGTTTATATCAGTAAGAGCCATGGATTCTTATTTTATTCTATCGGTGAAATCTGTGACTATATTTATTTTCTTGCTCAAATTGCCCCGGATTTTGCCACTGAGATCCCCTTCCAGTTGGCTCCTGTGCCCTTTTGATATGTACTCTACATTTTTTTTTTTTTTTAGTACTTCTTGCAAAAAATATATAATCCGGATTTTATCATGAGGAAGCATCAGACAAATCAAATTGAGGGACATTCTACAAAATAACTGGCCTGCACTCTTCAACAGTATCAAGGTCATGAAAGACAAAGAAAGACTAAGGATTAAAGGACTAAGGAGGCATGACAATGGAATGTCACATGGGATCCTGAATGGCATCCTGGACCAGGAACAGTACATCAGGGGGACAATTGGCAAAATCTTAACAAGGCATGTATATTAGATGGTATTATTGTATCAGTGTTATTATCCTGATTTTGATAATTGTACTGCTGTTACGTAAGATGTTAACTTTGGAAAATCTGGGTGAAGGTTATATGAAAGTTCTTTGTGCTATTTTTGTACCTTCTTATAAGTCTGAAATTGTTTCAAAAATAAAAAGTTAAAGAAATAGAAAATGACTTATACAGGGAAAGGAGGATTGGAGTGGGGTAGAAGATGCAAAATGAGAGAAAATATTCTAGATAAATAAAATGTTCCTGGCCTGGACACTCCCTCCCACAGGTCCTGTTCAGAGTGATGTCTCCCCAGTGGCTTGGGACACAGCATGAACTGCCTCTCCCCAAAGATGCTCTTTCATTTCCCAACAGCCTCTGCTTGAAAAACACCAACAGGAGACTTGGGGCCTCTGACTCCTGCTGCTATGTTCACTAAGAAAATCAATTACAGCCTAACTACCTCCGGGGTTAATTAGCCTTGTGTACCCTGGGTGTCCTGTGTGAACAGTGCAGCCTGTCAGTCCCCGGTCAATGAGCAGTGGCACCGAGGCAGAGGCTTCTCAGGGAGAAGCTTGCCTCGGGGCTGGAAAGGGGCCCCAGCCAGTCAGAGGGTGGATGGTGCCACCCTGGGGTTGGCAGAGGTGGGAGGTGCTGATGGAAATTAGGCCCCTGACTAATTTAAGCTCCCCTACACCACAGGTGACCACAGGCGTGGAGACTGGCAACTGCTGCAGAAGGAAGAATTACAGAACAGTGCAAGTTCTCAGGCCAGCAGTCGTCAGAAATCACTAGAATCAGGGAGAAGGCACGGAGCCCTGAGCAGCTCAGGAAGCTAGCTGTCTGAGGGCAGAGGCTGGGGCACTACCAGCAGCCCCTGAAAACATTCTCTTCCAGCAACATAAAGACATAGGAGATTTTATACATGAATTGAAATATCTCTGTACCCCACAAATATGTACAATCAATATGTTTCAATTTAAAAAAATTCCTTAAGAAAGAAGACATAGTAGAAAGTCAGTAGCCATTGCCACTGGCCGCCATCAAGAATAAAATGGGAAGAAAAATGAAAGAAAGAAGAAAAAACAAGAGTAAAATGGGACCAAGGCAGCCCTATCTAAGAGGAACAGTGCCACACTCTCAAAACACCTTCCTATGCAGATGAACGGGGAGCCATGTGCTTTCCCTGGGAGGTGCCACCATGTGGGTGGGTCACATCTCTCTGCTAGGAAAGCTATCAGCTTGGAAAGTTCTGGGCGAACGGGCAGCCATGGGCTTTCCCTGGGAGGCGCCACCATGTGGGTGGGTCACATCTCTCTGCTAGGAAAGCTATCAGCTTGGAAAGTTCTGGGTATTAAGGAAGGGGAGGAGCCTTGTTTTATGTTATTTGGGCAAATTGTAGAGAATTTAAAAATGGTTTCATAATGAAATAGATGTGAGCTCAAATACTGGCTCTTCCACTTATCAGCTGTGTGAACTTGGGCACATCACTTGATTTCTCCGAGCCGCACTCTCCTCATCTGTACAGTGAAGGGGAGAATACCTACTTCCCACGGTCGTGAGGATTAGATGTAACAGTGCCAAGCACACAAAATAAATATTTGCTCCCTCTTCGGATAACCCATCTATCTGTAGGTTAACAATACTCACTTGATTTTGAGGGTTTGTTTTTTTAAAAAAAAACCGATTTGAAGTTTTGATATGGTCAGAGGGATGCTCCAGAAGTTTCCCAGTACTCTGTGACATAGGTGAGAACCTGAGTTGCTTTCTTTGCCCATTAGGGAAAATGAGGCAGGGAAAGGGACCACATCAGTGCAGGGAAGAGGCAGCACAGGAGCAGCCCCTTTCTGCTTTCTTAACCATGCAGATCACCAGGGTACCTGCCTGGGCTTTTATTCCTACGCACCATCAGGAATGTGCAATTAGTGTCAAGGCACAAGTGACAGTTGTTGAATAGGGACCCCTGAAGAGTGATGAGCACATAATGCAACTAAAGTTAAGTACAACCGCTCTTCTCCCAGGCCATCAAAAGCCAAGCAGCTGCATTCTCATGCATATCATCTGCCATCGTCCATTGCAATTTGCTATTTTGAAAACATCACTATTTTTCCAAAATAATTATCTTTCCATTAAAATGCACAAACAAATTGGGACAGAGAGTACACACCGGGAAGTAGCACAGTGACTAGTGTCGTCCCTGCCTTTACTTTCTTCTTTCATTTTCAACTTTGCAACTCTGAGCTAATTTAAGCTCCTGAAATCACATTTCTGCTGAGAAAAGCTAAACCTGCTTTCTAAAATGTTCACCCACCATGGAGCCAATTTCTCATCCTCACCTGGCTCTGCCAGCCCGGCAGGGAGACCAAGCTGGCGCTGCCTCCCTCGTGGTATGCACGTGCACAGACGTGCACGCACATTCACGCACAGGTACAAGAACATGCTCTACGTGCTTGTCACTTACACCTGGACAGGGGCCATCAAGACACATAGGAAAGGCTTTCTACATACTCCCCACGTGAAACTCACTGTGTGCCAAGAATTTGTCCACAAAGGCTGAACCTGCACTCCTGGGAACTTGGGGGACTCACCTCGGTGATTTGGGGGTTCTTGCTCTGGGAACTTGGGGGACTCACCTCGGTGATTTGGGGGTTGGAGCACTTGACATTGTGGCTGGACCAGTCGAGCCAGGGGCTGGAGGGGCTGGCACAGTGCTGGTGGAGGGTGCATCGGCGCTCGCCCCTGCACCAGCCACACTCAAACTTCCGGTCGGCCTTGAGGCAGAGGCCACAGCTCTCCCGCTGGGCTGCGCACTTGTAGAGATGGACTGTTGAGAGAGGGGGACAGTCACAGATGGGACTGGATGGAGCTGCTCACAAGGTACACTCTTCTTGCAGGTGCAAAAGAAACTGGCCTCAACCATGGATAACACCACCAATCATCGTTATCATTGCAAGAATAACTGACAAGGAATTAATAATAAATTGAGCTTCTTAGGAGTCACTTAAAGGCACTACAGAAAATAATATTAAGAGTTCTGGCTCTAGATTGAATCAGATCAGGGTTTAATTGTGGCTTCACAACTTCCTAGTAATGTGACAAAGTATTTAACCTCCTTGATCCTCGGTTACCTAATCTCTAACATGGAGATAATCATTGTTTTTCGTGAAGTTTGAATGAGATGGTGTATATTAAGTGCTCAGCACAATGCCTGTAACATATCTGATGTTCTTCTATACATGCTTATTATCTTTTCTTTGAACTCAAACTGCATTCTTATGCTGCTGTCTCTCTTACTCTCAAAATCTCTCATATGGCCTTCATTGCAAGAGCTGAGGGCTAATTTCCCCATTGCAGGTAAAAATGAAGCTCAAAGAGGGCTGTAATGACTCTCGAAGCCTATTTAGGTTAGTGCCCCAAACTGCAACTCCGTTATTTAGGTTAGTGCCCCAAACTGGAATCCTGCAACTCCGGCTCACTATGCTGCTAGATGGTACGTCCTGACAAGGAATCTTGCTCTATTTAGGTTAGTGCCCCAAACTGCAACTCCGGAATCCTGCAACTCCGGCTCACTATGCTGCTAGATGGTACGTCCTGACAAGGAATCTTGCTCGGCACACTGGAAACTGCATGGGTCTGGGAGTGGAGTCAGCTTCGGCTTAAAGAAAGGCCAGGTGGCTGCAGTGGAGGAGGCATTGCTGATAAGGAAAGAGGGTGACACAGTCCTGTTCACAGACTCCATGGATGGAGAATATGTCCCTGGAGAGGACAAACTGGCTATGTAACAGGTCACATTTGGAGTATGCAAATGCTTTGTTTTTGCTTTTGTCTCCTACTGACTTAAAACCCCTAGTAGAACCAGCCAGTCATGGAACTGTAAGGCTGGGGCTTACAGTTTTTGTAAGCCTGGGGCTTAGCTCTTTTCCTGCCAGGGTTTTAAACTCAGGGTCCAAGTAGAATCCTCCAGAAGAAAAACACTCAGAAAGTCATGTTCAACTTTTCTGGTCAAGCACATATAAGCTTTCAGGACCAGGCATTGGGCCTCTGCTGCAGGTCAGGTACATGCCCCAGGGGAGGGCTAATTCTTTTATTCCTTCATAGGTCCTTATCCTGTTTCTGTCAAGCATTCCTCAGTTCCAGCTGCAGGGACAATATTTAAGCATCCTCAAGCCTGTGGCTTCTTAAGGTAGAGGGCAAGAAATGGGAATCTTAAAATGAACAAGCTCACATTGCACATTTAAAAGTTTGTGCTACATGGTCCATATCCATGAGTTCATTTTTTCCTCATGATGACCCTGAGAGCGGGGCATTTTCTACTCCACTTCATGGACAGGACACTGGGATACAAAGAGGAGTGCTAATTAGTCTGAGTTCATGTAGCTGTAAGTGAAAGAGCAGGCAGGTGAACCCGTTTGCTGGATTCTAGAACCCCCATCCTTAAACCCTGTGGTCCTCTCCCCACAGTGCAATGCACAGCCACCAGCAACACTCAGGTTCTGTTGGACACCAGTGTGAAGACAACACTGCCTGTGCACTCAAGGAGCTTCTTAAACCTTGGAGAGGCACAAGCAGAGTTCTGCTGCAACAGCTTGGACGTGGCTGTTTTTCTCTAAGCTCCAGGTGCAAAGGCAACCTCTGGGATCTAAGCCCAGATTCTCAGCAGGGAAAGTGTCTCCTATCTCTTAGCAGTGAGAGAATCTGGCCTGAGCATGGGGAGAAATAGGAAAAAAATATCTCTCTGGCTCAGTTTCTTTCTCCCCGTCTAAGTAGTGCTGATTTTAATGGCAGCGTCTGGGGCAGGGAGCTGCAGCCCATGGATGCTGAAGCACTTGCAGACCCTACTGTGGCCTTGGCCCTCGCTCCGTGTCCATGGGGTCACCCTCAGGTGGAAGCAGAGGCTTGTGACGACTCGAGCTACTTGAAATCTGGTGAGACTTGTGGCTCATGGTGGGAGAGGGCATAGGGAAGTATTCTGAGTGGAAGGGAGTTTAATTCTCACAGTGGTCTGAGAGCAGGTCCTCACAGTGGTGTGGTCAAGCTTGTGAGCTCTGAAGTCAGACTGTCTTGGTTCAAATCCTGGCTCTCACTCTCTGACTCTTGGCCTATTTCTTAACCTCTCTGGGCCCCAGTTCCTCATCTATAAAATGAGGATAATAATAGTGTGGGAGGGAGTTTAATTCTCACAGTGGTCTGAGAGTAGGTCCTCACAGTGGTGTGGTCAAGCTTGTGAGCTCTGAAGTCAGACTGTCTTGGTTCAAATCCTGGCTCTCACTCTCTGACTCTCGGCCTATTTCTTAACCTCTCTGGGCCCCAGTTCCTCATCTATAAAATGAGGATAATAATAGTACATACCTCTCAGAGTTAATGTGATGGTTTAATAAAATAATCCCCAATGAATTACTTAGTGAGTGCCTCCCCACAGTGAGTGCACATCACGCTGGAGTGACTTTTATCATTCTCCAGAGCAGCGTGGAATCTTGGTATTTGCTGCATCGAGGGTCGGGCGTGCCCGGCCCATTGTAGGAGGTGCATTTACAGTAAAAGGCATCAAGGTGGCCCTCCTGGAGTGCCCTCTCCTGCTGCAGCCCAGCTCCCCTTCCTGAGCTTCTCTGCTCCAGATGTGAGCTTGAGTCCACATGCTGGCCCCTTCCGCCCACCTCAGGACCAGGAGAGCAGCCTTGAAAACCTTCTTTGTGCAGTGACAGTGACCAGGGCCCAGGACAAGGGAACAAGAGCCTGACTGGAAACAATATCTCCATTTCCAGGGAAACTGGCAGGACATCCCTGCCTGCTGTTCTCCTGGGTCAGGTTCCACATACACTTCAAAGTCGGCGGGAGCCAAAGAAGAGCGTGGATGAGCCGGCAGCCGCCCGGCGGATGCTCTGGTTGTAATAAAACAGGGCTCCCAACAGGACTCCTTTGATGGCTCCAAATGTTGCTATAGGGTCCTCTGAAGAGTTCCGCTGACAGAGGGAGTGTATTATTCATGGCACAGCGGCCTGCCAGCTCTGATCCCTCCAGCCCCAGTCTTTCCCGGGTCGTGAAAAGATCAAACTTCTACCTGGAAGTAGCCGCTTACCTTTCAGGTCCTGAGGGTTGTCAATGATGAAATTGCCATTCCACACCACGGCGAAGTCCACGGCCAGGTTGCTGATGTCCATCCCGTCATACTGGTACTGCAGGGGGAGGGCAGAGGCACGTGGCTCGTGAGGCTGTCCATCACAGGGGTCAGAGATGCAGAGGAACCCGGGAGCTGCCCACACCAGCCCCAGGATGCCCTTTCTCTGACACCAGTCACTGATGCCAACAGGATCCTGCCCGATGCTCTAGCCTGGCGCTCAGTGCCTTCCACAATCTGATCCAAACCTACTTTCCAACCTTCTCTACTGCTCTCCTACAGAAATCTTTGAATCCATCTGTCTCCAAACATTCCTGCTTAAGCCCCTCTGTGTCTTTGAGTTTATATGTCATAAGGAATGCAGTCGTCTCCTTACAACCTCCACCCTTTAAACCCATCCTGTTCTTCCAGTCCAGCTCAGACCCACCGTCCCCAGGAGTCCCCTCCAATATCTGTGCCAGCACTCCCCAACCTCTCTGTCCCTTGGTATTGTCGCCATCTGTCTTTGACCTGGCACTTCTCGGGAGCTGCTGTACATCTATCTGTTCACGTGCAAATCTAGTCTCTCTAGAAAGCCATTACATTTCTGGAGGCAAAGCCAGTGTCCTCTTCCTGCTCTGTAGACCCCACAGAGTCTGTAGCAGAGCATGTGCGTAACTAACAGTCACCGAGTGGCTGGGTGGCCGAGCTGTGCTGGTCCTCTCTTTTTGCACATGAGCCTTACTTGGGTCAACAGTCCACTAAGGGAAAGTGCCCACAGCCTTCTGGGCACAGATCTGATCGGCCAAAGGCCTCCCGCTGTGGCTAAGTGTCAACTTTCTCTCTCATGCTGATCCCAGAGGACTTTTAAGCCCTTCGCACACTGCAGAAACAGCCCCCCTGGGTGGCCCACCAGTGCTCTGGGAAGGAGACCACTGGGACACTTCCTCCTGGGGATGGCCCAGCCCCGCCACTTAGCTCAGGAGGGCACGTCACAGTCACCATCTGTGCTCTGCCCCCGCCCTCCTGGCCGCCTCCTCCCTCTGCTGAGCTCTGTCTCTTCCTCACCCCACCTCCCCAGCTTGGCAGCCTTCCACCATCACAAATTCTATCAAGCGCCTGTGACCCAGGAATCTGACAGCTCCCTGATAAGAGGCCCAGATTCTCTCTATCTCTCCCAGGCGAATTAGCTTCCCTCAACACCTTTGTCACGTCACCCCCTCCCCCATCTCTGAGCTGACCCCCGACAGTTAGAGACAGGGAGTTGGCAGACAAAAAGATCTCTGGGCTAGTGTTATAATTAAACACCTCGTGCTCTCGGTCTGCCACCCAGGATTGGTTTAACCCTCGCTGCTCTGCAGGGACACTGCTTCCTCGTTCCTCTCCCCTCCCCCCATCCCATCCTACTTCCCTGTCCTCTTCTCCAGCTGTCCTCCTGTGTAGCGCCCACTGGATGGGGTCATCGTGGGAGGTGGAGTTGACTTGCTGTGGTTGAGGTGTCACTGAAGGCAAAGAGGTGCTCTGTGCCCTTCAGGAAAGGCACGAAGATCTCAACTCCTGCCATTAGAGTCCTCACAGAATTCTGTCTCCTCTGACACCATTAACCTGCTCTGATCTGGCTGAGGGAGCTAGGGTGCACGCACGTTCCTCTGTCCCTGGGGATGTGGGGTCAGTTTGTGAACCTGGAAGGTTCTGGAAGCTGGAGTTGGCCAGGCTGAGGCTGTGGCATGGGTGTGAGAGAAAGCCCTGCACCAGCAGGGCCCCAGCCCGAGTCTTCTTACCGAACTGTTCTGGCACTGGACGCTGGAGCTGTTGAAGCGCAGGGCGGGGACCCGGTGGATGGCACCCTGGATGTTGAGGACGCACTCATAGCCTCGCTGGCCGGACTGTGGCTGCGGCAGGTTTCGAGCCTTAAGGGTGATTGGTTTCACCTCCCCGACTGGAATCAGGATCTCCTCTGTGGGCACCAGCTGGGGACAGTCCTGGGGGAGCAAGCAAAGAGGCTCCATCTGTCCCCAGCTCACACCTTCCTACTGACCTGAGCCAGGCCAGGGACAGGGCCCGATGCCAGGCCAGTCCCTCTCGTATCCAGGTTGGCCTGGATACGAGAAGAACATGTCCTCATGGAAGGGGCATATTGAGTCAGCAGGGAAAATGAGATCTCTCTTACGTAATAACTTCGTATAGCATACATTATACGAAGTTATACGAAGGAAGGGGAGGAGCCTTGTTTTATGTTATTTGGGCAAAAGTGTGAGAGGGTGTGGGTGTTACCTCTTGAAACACCAGATAAAAGAGCCTCCAGGCGTGCCTGTCCCCACGCCAGCACCCTGCTTCCCAGTTTCATCTCTTCCCCAGCTCTAGCTCTGCCACCCCCTTGCATTGTCCCTGATGCCTGGGCCACCGTGACGGGCAGTTTCAGCCTCCCAGCTCCCACAGAGCCTGGCTTTCCAGGGGGTGTATCCAGCCCTCCCAGCAATGCTCTAAACACTTGCTCTGGCTTTTTATCTCATTTCATTACCAGGTCCTGCATGAATGCCATGCTGCTTTGGAAAATAAAACCAAAACAAGAAAGTCTTGGGAGGGAGGGGCTGTGGAAAGGACCATGACAGAGAAAGTGAGCAAGACTGATTTTTCTCAGCTCTATGCCTAGATGCTGCTTCTCCACCAAAGGTCAGATTTCCACCCCTACAGCTTCAATCTCCTCTTCCTCCCTCTCCCTCAGGAAGGTCTGAGCCCAGTGGCCCCTGGCAGTGAGGATGTGGAAACCACCTCTACATGGAATCATTTCCTCTCTCCAGGATCAACTAGGGAAATTCTTTGAAGGAGGCTCCTCTTTCCCCATTCCTTTCCCCTGAGCAGTGGTTCTCAG